GGTAGGTGTGTGTGTGTGTGTGTGTGTGTGTGTGTGTGTGTGTGTGTGTGTGTGTGTGTGTGTGTGTGTGTGTGTGTGTGTGTGTGGAACGGTGCCAGGGCAAGCGGCGGATTCAAGAATGGGCAAGAACAGAATTGCACCACGTACAGACGTTGATCTCATTATCACCTGTTGACTTCCTGCGTGTGCTGAAGGATCTGTCGGTGTTGCTCCTTCTTCTGCGCCTCCAGCCTCTGCACCTTTGCCTCCAACTCTCTGATTGACTGGTGACAGTGGTGATGGCAGCAGTCGTGAGGAAGCGTCAACTTGGTGACGTTGCTGCAGGCTGCACGGACGTACAAGGTTGCGCGCTCATACGCAGAGGCGCGCACACAAGATACTCATGAACACATACACAACAAACCTGTTGCAGGCGTTTCTCTGTTGCCTCCAGCTTTGCCTTCAGCTCAGCCTGCGAAACAAACATGTACAAGACTCGGGGGGTGAGTACCAGCCAATTCACAGCACACAGAGCACATCTTCTCCATGCGGACATGAACAACAGCCTCTCATGTGCACGTGCGTGTGCGTGTGCACGTGTGTGTGCATGTGTGCGTGTGCGTGTGCATGTGTGTGAGTGTGAGTGCGCGCGTGTGCATGTGCGTGTGTGAGTGTGCGCACCAGGGCCTTTTGGTGCTCAGCCTCGAGCTGGTCGATCATCTGGGTGTTCTTCCTGTTCATGGCGACCACCTCTGCGGAATACGATTCGCTCTTCTGCGCATCAATGTCGTCCCGCTCCCGGATCACGCGCTTCATCTCCGCCGTGTGCTACACAGCCACAGCAGGCGTGCAGGGGGACGAGGTGAGTGGACGTGCACGGGTCGTGGTACGGCAGCAGCAAAGGCGGAGGGAGGGCGAAGCAGGCGTGTGATGGGCCGTTGTGCCAATCATTTCACTCCACAGTGTGGCAGCAAGCAGGTGGAGAGGTAAAGTAGTGGTGTCCCCACCCAGAACAACACAAACCAAAACAAGACACCTGTGATCTGATCTTCTCGACTTGCGAGTCATATGTGTCACGCAGCTTCACCAGTTCCGCCATCAACTAAAACAAGGAGGCGGGGGGGGGGGAGTTGGTGAGACACGCAGGACCGCAACAGCGGAACGACAACGGTGAGACCATGGATAACTATGAAGTCATCCACACATGCGAGGTCGAACATGCACGCAACAACATGGGCCCGAGGGAAGACACACAGGCAGACAGACAGACAGACAGACACAAACACACAGACAGACAGACAGACAGAGAGACAGACACACAGACACAGACACAGACACAGACACAGACACACACACACAGACACAGACACAGACACAGACACACACACACACACACACAAACACACACACACACACACAGGTAATGCGACAAAGACACAAAAATGCACGTTCGCCCAGGCAGCCAAACACTCGCACAGCTAACTGAACGCTCGCTCATGTACAAGACACCCACACCCACAAGCCACGTCTACTACAAATACACCCACTCCACGCCCACCTCTTCACCGCGCGCCCAGAGCGGCTTTTCCTCCGTATCTGGGGCGGGCCCGTATTCAAACTCGTCGTCGCCCTTTCGCCCGATGACGAGCGGAAAGGCGTTGATCACCTCCCGCATCTGCTGCTGCTGGTCAACAAGCCCCTTCAGTCGCTCCACTGTGAACGTGCATACACAGCAGGCCAAAGCATGCAGGTACAACGCCATCAGGCATGAGGCGGTGAGCGTTGCACCACATGACGGACAAGGGGTGCCGTGCATGCAGGGTCAGGCATCACAGCACAGCACAGCAAGGTGCAGCATGGTATGGCAAGACACAGCACAGCACAGCGTGCAAGCCGGTGCGTGTGGGAGGGCTGGGTCACGCACTGGTTGCTTTGTAGAGCCCCATGTATCTGTGTTGTTTGCAGGCACACATTGTAGAGGTTGAGAAGCAGGTGGGAAATCAGTCACGTGTAAATGGGCGCCAGTTGGCTGAAGCGCAGGGCAATCGTGGTGTGGTGCACACAATTTGGAGGGCCGTCATCACCCGAGCAAGGCAGCAGCAAGCGTGCCAAGATCACGCCACAGAACCACAGCGCCAAGTGCCACCCCACACGCTGCTGCCAAGCAAGGTTGCACATGTATGTGTGCATAGCTGACCCTGATCTGAGGGTGGTGTGTTTTTCCTGCTGGACCTCGAGCAGCTTGTCCTGCATTGCGCGCTCCACCTCTGCTGCAGACTGCTCCATGCTCTCCAGCGCCTTTCGCGCTTTGTTCAGCCGGTCCTCATCGCGCGGCTGGCAGTGCAAGGCGGAGGGGAGGGAGAGGAAGACGTTTGTGTGGAGAAAGGCGACGCGGGCGTCGGTGGTGAGGACAAATCACGGCAAAGGGTGGTGGTGGTGGTGGTGGTGTGGGGGATGACATGTTGCTCGCGGGGAGGTTTCACGTCACGGCACAGCGCCAGCGCAAGCAGACACCAGTGCCGATCGAAGAGAACACGGGCGATACCCTGCAAACGTACACGGACAAACATACAGACAGACGGACGGACGGAGGGACAGACAGACAGACAGGCAGACAAAACACAGACACACAGATACACACAGACACACCGACCCCCCCACACACAGACACACCGACCCCCCCGCACACACACACATACCGACCCATACAGAGTCCCACCTGCTTGGTTTCTGCTGCTGCATACTTCTTTCGGGCTTGTTCCAAGTTCTTTTGGGCCTTTTTGTACGCGTTGACTTTGGCGTTGAGCTCCTTCTTTTCTGCCAACACTGTCTTCCACAGCCTGGTGAAGAGCCGAAACTCTTCAATGTATCTGCCACCACGTTGGTCGTTTGAAGACGGATGCGGTTTGGTGGTGAGCGGTGCTGGCTTGTGGTTCTTACAGTTGGACGCAAGCACAGGCAGACTTGGCGGCTCAAAAAAGAGGGAGACGCCCTTACGCAGGTCCCAACACACACGCAGGTGCATACACACATATGCACACACACACAGGTGCACACACACACACACACACACACAGGTGCATACACACACACACACACACACAGGTGCATACACACACACACACACAGGTGCATACACACATATGCACACACACACACACACACACAGGTGCACACACAGGTGCACACATACACACATACACACATGCCCCGTCTTACTGTCTGTCGACGGCGATGGAAGCCATCTCTGAGTCACCAAGACAGGCAACAAACTCCTCGATGACTTGGTCTTCTTTCTTTGCAGTCCACGTCAGCAACGACTTTGTTGCCTGCGGCGAGAAGCATGTGTGCGATTGTTGAGCTTTGTTGCGGGCATGATTGCAGCTGGACGAGGTGTTCACATGCATGCGCGGTGCAGCGTCCACACAAACACGAAGCGCGCACATGACGCAAGCACACGGGTGCATACCCGCCATATGCTTCGCAGCTGCCCCTCCATACTCAGACACACACAGGCACACACAAAAGAATGCACACAGGTTCATAAACACACACACACACACACACACACACACACACACACACACACACACACACACACACACGCAGGCACACAGATACAAAGAGGCACGCACTCGCTCTTGCTGCCGAACACGGGAATCGAGGGCGCTGGCGAGGTCTTTGAGCTCGGAGTAGACGTTCAGGAGCTCGCCTTCCTCGGCCAAGGCGTGGGCCGCCTTGCGCACAGCGTGGGTTGCCATCCTTTTTTGGTCACTGCTTGGCAAGCAGCGTGCGTGTGTTTACATGTGTGTGGCGTTAGCCAGGGGCGCCAAACGAGCTTGCCGCAGCTCACAAGCAGAGACATGCAAAGAAGAAAGGCAAGTGACATGAAAGCAATGCAGCCAGATACACACACACACACACAACGCACACAACACACAACAATACACAGAACAGAACACGCCACACACAACAATACACAGCACACCACACACAACAATACACAGCACACCACACACAACAACACATACAACTGCATAGACTACAACCCACCCTCAAGTACACATCCCACTCACTCCCCTTCCCCCTTCCCCCCTCCCCCCTCACTCAACAACACACAGCACGCTGCCTCAGCATCATGCTCATCCTTGTCAGCATCGTTTCCTCACCTCCTCCTCCTGTCGCTGGTGCTTCTGGTCTTGTCCAGCGGGAACCCAAACAACAACAACAACGAACTACCACTGCCTCGGAAAATCTGCGGTGATTTGCACAAATCGCCAACAAGTGTTGTGGCGTGCTAAATGAGAGAAACACCGTATTTGAGCCCAGGTATCGAAATGTCTGTATGGCTGCATTTGTGTTTTCCAACCTGAAGGAAAACAGCACTTGACAACGACGTTTGCCCAGCCCGTTTTTCGCGGTGGATACAAATTTCACCTGTGTCACTGCGCATTAGCCCCACAGTGGGGCTTACGAAATCTACACCATCCCAGCTTCCGCACCGCCAAAATTAACTGCGTGAAAAAACACTTGCGGCAACCACAGCAACCACCACAAGCAGCCAAACACTCGCAAACACCCTTGCTTGCTTCTTGGCTTTTTTGTAGTCCCCTTTCCCTTGTTTTCCTGTTGTCGTGGCTGAGGTTTGCGTGGCGTGTTCATTTTCATCAGTTTGCTCGCTCATAACAAGCTTGCGACTACCTCCCCTTTTTGGTGCTGTACACCCGCGACCTTTCTTATCCTCTTCTCCTTCTCCACCACCGCTCAACGACAAGATGCGCGAAGTTCTCTCCGTCCACATTGGCCAGGCCGGTTGCCAGATCGGTAACGCCTGCTGGGAGCTGTACTGCCTCGAGCACGGCATCCAACCCGATGGCCAGATGCCCTCTGACAAGACTGTCGGCTATGGCGACGACTCGTTCAACACCTTCTTCTCCGAGACTGGTGCTGGCAAGCACGTGCCCCGCGCCGTGTTTGTCGATCTCGAGCCCACCGTCGTCGACGAGGTGCGCACCGGCACCTACCGCCAGCTGTTCCACCCCGAGCAGCTCATCTCCGGCAAGGAGGACGCCGCCAACAACTACGCCCGTGGCCACTACACCGTTGGCAAGGAGCTCGTCGACATTGTCCTCGACCGCATCCGCAAGCTCGCCGACCAGTGCACCGGTCTCCAGGGCTTCCTCATCTTCCACTCGTTCGGTGGCGGTACCGGCTCTGGCTTTGCCTCGCTCCTCATGGAGCGCCTCTCTGTCGACTACGGCAAGAAGTCCAAGCTCGAGTTTGCCGTCTACCCTGCTCCTCAGGTGTCCACCGCCGTTGTCGAGCCCTACAACTCGATCCTGACGTGCCACACCACCCTCGAGCACTCTGACTGCGCCTTCCTCATGGACAACGAGGCCATCTACGACATTTGCCGTCGCAACCTCGACATTGAGCGCCCCACCTACACCAACCTGAACCGCCTCATCGCCCAGGTTGTGTCCTCCGTGACGGCCTCCCTGCGCTTCGACGGTGCCCTTAACGTCGATCTCACCGAGTTCCAGACCAACCTGGTGCCCTACCCCCGCATCCACTTCCCTCTGGTGACGTACGCTCCCATCATCTCTGCCGAGAAGGCCTACCACGAGCAGCTCTCCGTTGCCGAGATCACCAACTCGTGCTTCGAGCCCGCCAACCAGATGGTCAAGTGCGACCCCCGCCACGGCAAGTACATGGCCTGCTGCGTCCTCTACCGCGGTGACGTCGTCCCCAAGGACGTCAACGCCTCGATTGCCACCATCAAGACCAAGCGCACCATCCAGTTTGTCGACTGGTGCCCCACTGGCTTCAAGGTTGGCATCAACTACCAGCCACCCACCGTCGTGCCCGGCGGCGACCTTGCCAAGGTGCAGCGCTCCGTCTGCATGCTCAGCAACACCACCGCCATTGCCGAGGCCTGGGCTCGTCTTGACCACAAGTTCGACCTCATGTACGCCAAGCGTGCCTTCGTCCACTGGTACGTCGGTGAGGGTATGGAGGAAGGCGAGTTCGCCGAGGCCCGCGAGGATCTTGCCGCCCTCGAGAAGGATTACGAGGAGGTCGGCGTCGACTCCATGGACGGCGAGGGCGAGGACGAGGGCGAGGAGTACTAAGCGCAAGGCCCCCTCCCGGCCTGACCTCCACCACCACCGTCTTCACTGCTGCAATTACCTGCCATTGTTTTGGCTGTCCTTTGATGACTGGTTGATGCTTCTGCATTTGTTTTGTGTGTGTTGAGCTGTCTGGTGGTGGCGCGTTTGTTCACTCTTCCACCCCTTGCCTTTGCTGCAAGCGACCGTTCCATGTCCCCAACCATCCAATACAAACACTGAATCCAACAACAATTGCAGCAAAGAGGAATAAGTTGTCCAACAGAACGAAGTTATGATGAGTGTTGTGTGGGATGTCACACATGACGCGACACTGGCAGTGGCTGTTTTGTTTGGTTGGTGGTTTACTGGTCCGCTGCGTGGCGGTAGCGATCATAGAAGGCAAGCATGTCAGCGGTGATGTTGGGCGTAACACGCTTGATGGCATCGAGAAACGCCTGCTTTGGCACTGGGCCAAGCTGCTCTTCCCCTAGCCGCGTCCGTTGGTGCGCGAGAGCACTGCTCGCTTCCACGTGAAGCAGCGCCGCTGCAGTTGTTGTTGTGTTTGGGAGGGGGGGGGGAGGGTTAGGACGAGAAGAGGGAGCGGGAGAGGGGGGGGGGGGAAGAGCAGGGTAGAGGGGAAGAGGGAGGGGAGAGGTGGAGTGGAAGAAGATACACACACACACACACACACACACACACACACACACACACACACAGACCCGGACCCGCCCCCCCCCCCCGACCCAGACCCACCCCCCCCCCCCCCCCACGCTTTGTTTTTTTTCTTCTCTTTGAATTAACCCCTGCTCCGGACAAGACAACCCCCTGGGCTGGGAGGGCATGCCCTTCCACTTCGCTTGCGTGGGGGACGCGGGACAAATGCATTGCAAGAAACTAAGCGCGGGCCCTCCCCTCCCGGTGGGGCAAGATACACCATGCGATGAAAACTGTTTTGACTCGAGGCGTGGGCGAGGAGGAAAAGACACACTGGACTGCACGGACCAGAGCACGGCCCAAGCCACGGCTGGGGACGAAAGAGAAGGTGCAGGG